GGGAGGGGAAGGCAGCGGCTGGCCTGGGAGGCAGGTAGAGATTTGAAGCAGCTTTCAACTCGCACTGACCCATTTATGTGGGAGGCTGGGTGGACTTTTCCCAAGCCCTCCCCATTCATACCATTTCTACAAAACCAAAAGTCTGGCCTCCAAGGACCAGATCGACCCAAAATACGGGAGGCCGACCCTTGGCCCACACTCACCAAGATGGCTTTTCCTGGTGGAGTGTGAGCGCTGGTTTAGATAGATGTGATCACCTGGCACAGCGTCTCGGGACAGGATGAGGCTGGTTAACACGGCCCTGATGTATAATTTACCGGGTGACTGGGACGGCACACTATGAGAAATTCCATCCTTCTCCTGCCCTCTTCCTGGCCTGTGGGTGAGAGGCGCCCCAGAGGCCAAGGCTGCCTCCACACTGGGCAGCCTGTTGCCCCAGCAACAGTGTCTGGCACCCCTTGTTTTGTCCTCGAGCCTGTCACAAAACCCCTCTTCTCCTGGGGGAAGAGCACCAGCCTTCCGCCGATCCCACATCCTCACAGCCTGGCACAATGGGCTCCCACGGAGTACACAGTGTTTCTTATTGTGGCATAAAATGCCATAAAGTCAGAACAAAGAGGGAGCCCAAGGCCTTGATGGGCCTGCTGCTTCCTGCCGGGCAGAGAATACAAGCGATTGTTTAAAAGCCAGTGCTGAGGCAAGTGGCCAATTAGCAAGGCCTTCACCCCCACACGGCCTGAGAATGGGCTTGGGACCATCAGGATGGGATCTTGCTCTTCAGATCAATTGCAGAGAGGAAGCAAGTCTGCTCACGCTGCCAAAATTAGAAGCCCTGGGCTGACTGGCAAAGGTGACCCGGGTGATGCTGCGGCCGTCCTTAGGCCCGGCTGAGCCCTGCCTGCTGAATGTCAGCGTGCTCCGGGCACCTCCACGCATTTTCCCTGCCCCTTTAAGGTGATGGTTAGGCATTCCGAGAACCTCCCCGAGTCTAGGGAATTATACAGCTGTTCACGGTGGCCTTGGAAAGACAATTCATTTTTCACTGTCTTCTTTCTCATAGTTGTCAAGAAATTTCCCACGACCCAGACCGGAAGAAAATGAAAGTAGGTTTTGGGGTCAGTCCTGCCATTTTGAGGGTGTTTGCTAATTTACTTTTTCTGTCGCTGTGTTGAACCTAACACTGTGGAAGGAAGTAATGACCACCACCCAGAGGCAAAAATAACCCCACCGAGCTTGGGAAACTAGCAGCAGCAGGTCATAAAGGCGAGTCCAAGCACTGACCCGGAGCGGATAAGGGTTCCAGCTCACCCTGAAAGCAAGGAAAAGGGGAGACGGTGGTGTCGGGGTAGGATGGCTCGCCGCAGGATTTTCCCTTTTCCTTTTCCTTTTCCTTTGCTGGAATTCTCCAGCCTCTCAGGTTATCTTCCAAACCCTGGAAGGGGCTCTTTAGCCATCACCGGAAGGGACCACAGTCAGTCACAAGCTGGTGGCTTTTTATTGGATTTCCTCACCATTCGGGCCCATCAAGTGGGTCTTCTGGACTCAGAGGCTGAGCCAGGCCTCCTGAGAAAGGTCCCTCCTAGGAAGCAAACCTGCCTTCAAACAGGCTCATGATCTCAGGAACCCCCACTGGGGAAGATGTGGTTAATGAAAGCAGGAGGGCTTGCAGGGAGAATAAACGGGGGGGGGGGGGGGGGGGGGGGGGGGGGGGGCGCGAATGTGACAATTCCGTCGCCAGAGGCTATTCCAGGGAGCGATGTTACCGCCCTAAAAGGGTTAGGACAGTAAACCCCACACACACTGGCTTTGCCGTCAGCATCACCTGGGGACTTACCAAAAGCAGATTCCTGGGCCCCTCCCAGGGACTCGGGTCAGGCCCAGGCCCAGGGGCGAGCCTCTGGTGGTCAGGGCGCAGCTGGTCAGGGGGGATGCTTTTGGGGAAACCCCCACAGACCCGCCTGGAGAAGCTGAACCAGCTCACAACTGCTCAGGGCGAGGCCCAGACGATGCCTCTAGAACCCAGTTTACTGTTCAGGGCACGCTCCTCCGGGAAACGGGGTGTAGGGGGGGCCATTTTCAGAGACGCGGGGAGGGAGGGAGGGGGCCTTCCCTCCGTTCACAAAAGGAGCCCATAGAGTCCTAGTCCTGGGCGCGACCGCCGTGTCCTCGGGGGCCACTCTGGGCGGCCACCCCCACCATCCAGCACTGTCGATCCCTCCCCGGTGGCTCCCCCTCCGGGAACCCGGCTGGGAGCGAGCGGGAAGGGAGCGGTGGGGTCGAGAAAAGACCTTTGTGTCGCGGGCGCACACACCCCCTCTCGCGGAAAACGCCTCTGCGCCTCGTCTCGCTGGTCCTAATCGCGGCTTTTGGCGAGAGCCCCAGCTCCGGAAAGGGCGCGACAGCCAGCAGCCGGCTGTGGGAGCTGGAGAGGA